AGGCATTCTTTTCTAGCCCTGGTTGGAGATCTCTCAGGTTATCTTTTGGGTATCCCATCTAGGTATTAGCCAAGATCCTTTTACTTTCAGAAATCAGATGAGATCAGGTGTGTTCAAGGCAATAAATACTGAGAATGTTACGGCATGTGCCATATCCATTTTGGTATCCAGATGCCATTGATATTTTGAACAGAACATTGATACAGTAAAGGATTCATACCTCCCCCACCCATCATTAAATCTACTGAAGGGTCTATGGATTTTCCTGTCCACCAATGGCTGAAATACCTGCCAGCCTTCCAGTTGGTTTGGAAGGTCACTGACTTGGAACATCTGGAGTTTGATTCCCCGTTGTGTCCCCTCCCAAAGAAAAGCCAGCCTGTGTGGGCAAGCAGTGCTGTACCAGAGTGTCCCCAGAAGAAGGGGATAGCAAACCACTTCTGAGAATTTTTATTACTCTGAAAATCCTGAAAAGGTTAGAATTGACTTATATCATTATTACAGGTTTGCCAAATGGGGTGTGTGGTTTGAGAAAGGATGTTGGTGTGCAGGGCTGGTGGACTCAATCCTGTAACCACTCCCCACCCCATGTGTTTTTACTATATAAACTCTTACACTATTAGGATTGTGTGTGATTGTAGAAGGATGGTTATTGTATGGGCTTGCATGGATATATTATAACTGATCTCTAAAACTGACATTACTACTGTACATAGCTCTCTCAGGTCACAGCTTTGTGTGTCCCTCCCACCTCCCAATTCATATGAATTTAAAGACATATAAGTAACATTGTGGAAGCAGAGATGGGAATGCCTTCTAAAGGGTACAGGGCAAGCCAGCCCTTATCTGTTTATCTTTTATTTGGGTAGACAATGATATGGAGTCTTCCACATATGCGTATTTCTAAAAGATCAGCCTGGCTTCTAATTTACCAGATAGGACTCAATCGTTTCATGACCAATTTTTTTGAAAAAATAAAACTGTTATTTTATAAAACTTTTATTTAGTTTGGTAAATCCAAAATGCACCCTATTCTAGGCATTGCAGCCACCCAGAAAACTGGCACATTAAATAATCACATCTTGTAAATAATATACCTCAGTTCCAACCAGAAGTAACATCATCATGTTTAAATATTCACCTGCACCTTTAAAACACACAGGAAGTTTATGATGAAGGAATTTTCTGCCTCCGGTGCCAAAGTAACTGTGCCTGTTTTCAATACTATGCACTTTAACTGGGGTGGATGAAGTGGTGTTTGTCACTTCGCCTCAGGTATCAAAATGTCTTGGGCTGGCCTTAGCCTCAGAAGATAAGGATACAAAATTGGGATACATGCATAGATCTGGAACAAGAAAGAGTTGTCATCCTTCTCAGGCCACCAGTTCTCAGAGGGTTTGTACAACTGGATAATTTAGACCAACCATATCTGAATCAGATGCCTTTTTGATCTTGTGACTTTAATAATCTCCAGGGAAGGTGCAGCCATAACTTTGAAAGACAACTTACTCCGTTGTTGATGCATTTCCAGTTTAGTCCTAAGTTCTCTTGCCCAACAGCTATGCACTGAACCCAGGTGTTGTTACCTCTCATGTAACATGCTGATGGAGATGAAGAATTAGCATTCCTTGCTTAATATCACCTTGACGTATGTTGCTTTTGCGTCATCTTTCATATTATGATTTGACTGGCAATATGCCCTAAAAAGGAGCAGCCTGGGCTTGTAGAATCTTTGTGCTAACTCCACCCTGCTCACAATACAAGGAAGTTTTGTGTGTGCCCAGCTGAGGCCTACTCATGCAGCTTTCTTAGAAATATTTTTTGCTTCAGTGGATACTACTGCAAGAGAAAACAAACATCATATTTAATTTTAAAATATTTTTTGTCTAGAAGAATGCACCAGCAAAATATGTGTTATTCTTCTGTAGATGGCAACAGAAAATCATGGGCTATATTATCACGTACATTAGATGCCCTGACTTCTTTTCAAATCAGTTGATATCATTACCATCATAGTGTTATCCGAAATCCAGAAGGATCTCCAAGCAAGCATGAAAATATTTATCAACATTTTGAAGTCTACAGCTTACAAAGAATATGTCTTTTTTAAAAGAATCTAAAATAGAAATGAAATATGGTTTATAACCCATATTTTGTTTCCTAATAGGTAGATGCTTGCTGCTAAGAATTGTACTGTCTCGCATTCTGACACTGAAGCTCATGGTTTTTATAATCAATGCAACAAAAAGATACATATTCCTGTTATACTGTAATCTTATGCAAATTTACTTGAATTCCAGCATGGGATGTAATGAGATTTACTATATTTCTGATTTTAAATATGTATATTCAAGCTTTAAATATCTAAATTGAAATGTGTGGGGTTTGATTTTTAAAAAATATCCTTTAAATGCAAAATATGTATAACACAAACACTGTAAACACCGGTCTCCCTATTAATGAAATCTGCACATAAACAGGAACCAGGAGAGTGTGGGCTTAAGAGACAATGCTGATGTTCTCTAGTCTTGTAGATGCAACGAACAGGAAATTTAAAGTCCAGGGTAGTTTGATACATCAACAAATACGTAAGTCTAGTTGATTCGGTGGGTCTATTCCAGTTAGATTAACAGTCTTTACGTTTAGTCCTAAGAATTTATTCAGGAGTAACAATGAAAGTCGGAGGTTGTTTAAAATGCAGAGATACCTACAATATAGTTGCCCATTCAGCAAATTGTAAAAATGCTCAATCAGTCAATTGCTTAATTAAATTTAATTTTATATACCACCCAATTATTGGAGTCAGACTATTCTGGGCAGTGTACAAACAAGCATAGCTCCATAATCACCACTCACTTTATTCCTATAACATAAAAAACATAATCAAAATAGCACTGTAACTGATTTGAGTTTGGTAATCTACAGAAAGCCTAAGATTTAAACATTAAAATTAACATCATTTGAGGGCATTATGTTCTTAAAGGTTTGCCTTACATAATTTTGCTTGGAGTAATTTCTTGAATATTGGGAGGGAGAGAGCTTGGCATATCTCAACTGGTGGCTTTTTCCACAAAGTGGGGTCTATTACCAAGCATTAATCAATGTTCTAGTCTAGTAATCTCTTTACCAGGGAAACTAAAAAAAGAAAGAAAGAAAGAATAAGGTTAAAAATGTTAGTGGAAATTAAAAACAAGATATTTGGACAGAAGACTGTAAAAACCAGCTTAATACGATGATGTTATTACTGCCAGCTATTATTAGGAGATCTGGATTCAAATCTCTTCGGAGATGTAAAGCTTCTGAAAAGAGAAGAAATAGGTAAAAAACAACTACAAGCCTTTATAAGGTCTTCAGTCCTTTTCTACCTCCATACTCTGGGGGAATTTCTACATAAAATCCACCCAACCGTACAGAGGATGTTTCTTTCCGAGATGGGTGAAAAGTGTGCCAATAACATTTACCCATGGGAAGGCATAATAATGACAATACCAGAACTTAACAAGGCTCTGGTATATACGATGCATCGGATTGTCAAGAGTTCTCCTTGAACTGCACAGGTCACTGAAAGAAGTGTGTGAAACATATGCCTCCTCTTTTGCTCAAGCTACTTTTCCATATGTGGAGAAAGGAATATTGATTGAATGGAATGGAATGCTGTAATAACAAGCCTATTCATTAAGTAGGTCAAGCCAAAGGAGCACGCCTTCAACCATCCAGTTAACCTTTAGCAAATGGATTTTGGGGAAAAACCCAGGCAATAAGGATGTTGGATACCATGTTATATGGTCTGAAATTTGAAAACAGGAGAGAGGCTGAAAGGGGACATGCTTAGCTTGACCATTTCGGTTAAAGACTGGCTAAAGACTTATAAAAACTAGCAACAAACTGGCCATTAATAAATTCAACTGGCCTACAGTAAAAAGCATAACTCTCTTGGTCCTCCAGCAGTTTGTAGGAATAAAAATACAAATCGAATGGAAGCTCAAAATGTACAGTTTAAGAATAATTTCAAATTTAAAACCTCAGTCATGGCTCACTGGAATGGTGGCCGAAATCCATTTTAGCATAAGATTATGCACAAATGTACCAGACAATATGCCCAGGAAGCCAGAATAGTGCAATGTGACTGTGCATTCAGATGTGTGTTTCATGTTGTGACTATTGAACCCTGTCAAGATTTTTCCTACCATTTCCACAGTTTCGGATTACACACACATATAGGTACACAACAGGATTTGGGCCATAGTTAACAGGCCCACCATCCATGCAAAAGACAAGATGGATGCTTTGGACTCCTGGGAGGGTGACTATACAGGAGGGTGTGTTTTTTTCACTTCTACCCCACAGCCGTCTATACCAATTGAAAACCAGTTTCAGAGGATTTTCAAAGGTACTTTTGGAACGGAAGAGTGAGAGGAGGGGCTGCAGCTGCAGGGAAAATCACCCCCGCCATTCTGGAAGTCTACTTTTGGATCCTCCCCTTGAAAGCCAACCTTCACCATGTGGAAACAGAGTCACTTGAGACAGGGTGAGCATTTCATATGGTGGCCCCACCATAACTGGAAACTCGCATTTTTTTAACCCACTGATGAAAAACAGACAAACAAAACCAAGTATGAGTGATATCAAGGAAGGATTCCTTTCTCTTGGATGACTGAAGAACAATATTAGAGAATGGTTCCATAATTCCTTCTGTTGCTTATATCCTGGGCTTTGCATCACCTGTGTGTCTGGGAGGTAGAGGGAACTAAGTACAAAGATGCATGGGAAGATCTTGGCTACCTCTGTTAAGCGTAGCATTATCCATTCTGGGAGCAAAGGACAAGAAGCAGAAGTTGAAACTTTATCATGTTTTCATGTTAAATTCACAGGGTGCAGGTTTGTAGTGCTCTTCCTAGTACACGATGCTTCAGTTTGACATCTATCCCTTTTAAAAATGATAAGTTTTTAATCTACCAGGAAGATCCAATAGTGGAACACAAGAACAACCAAGCAAAATATTCGATTTTGGAATTACCTTTATTTAGATGGTGCAATCCAAGTTTAACTTGCAGATACTTCTAGTTATCCCCCCCCATCACAAGTCTCAAGAACTTATAATGTAAACGTTGCTTCTTTATCAAACTGCTATACAAAAAATGTATAAGACAGAGAAAATATTTATACAGTACAATTTAATAAATTCAGTAATGTGCTCCATATTTAAAAAGCAAAACTGATTAGTTGGCAAATAACATAGTTATCACTTTTTAAATGTGTTAACTCTAAATGGCACCAAAAAAGCAGTTTTGAAAAACCTTAGGACTTGAGACAATTATACAAAACTTAATGATCTGGAACTCAGAACTTGCCAAAATGTGTTCAAAGCCCCAAGTACTTATGCACAAAGGGAAAGATGATTGCTTACATTGTTAAAAACGAAATATAGCACTTCATTGTTCATATTGGCTAGGTTTTACTGAAATTCAAGTAGAATAGTGGAATTCTTTGATGTTCACCATAATGCGCAAAAAAAAGCTTTATTAGGAAGCAGCAAATTTATGAACGATGTATTTTGTTGTTGTTTTCAAATTGGAGAATGCAATGGTGACATCCTCTCTTCAGGTTATGCAACAGGAATGAGGGCCGCATTCTCCCCCTGTGCCATATTCCTAATCTAAATAGCTTCCCTGTCCCAAACTGAGGTAGGAGCCCTGAGAGTTGGGATATACACGTAGGAAACTACAACTATTCAGAGCAGTGACCAAGTTCAATCATGCCTCTTCCTCAATGTGTTATCACGCTGTGGGCTCCACGATACAACTAAAAGAGCTTTCAGTTAAGTATCAATGGAGATGTGGGTCAGAAAGGATGTCAGAACCAATTCTACAATTAAGCAACTATACATATTATTTTCATGTATTTTAAGTTTCAAATTTTTGGTGAGTATATAAATTAAGGTGCAAATCTTGGCTAATTTAAAGTGTGTCTCAAAGTCTTATCATTAAAAGTCCACATGAACACATATAGGCTACTTATTATCAAATGCTTCTTGCTAGATGAGGCCTTAACTTGGCTGATACCCAGTGTCCGTGCCTACATCAAAATAGACAGAGAAAGAGACAGTTCTTAAGAAAATGAGGAATGGCAGAATTAATTGAAAAGTTTGGCAAAGATTATAACTGAACTAGACTCCAAATTCACTCAGCCAGACTATACAATCTGACCTAGGTATAGAATGAGCAGACAGACCCTTCCATAGTTTTTAAAATGAATTCACAAGACAGTTTGCATTCTCAAGGACGAGGAGCAACATAAACTTTCACTTAGACCAGAGGCAGAGAAAGAGTTGCAGTCTTTGAAAGGGAATCATGACATGTTCCAGTGAATTAGGTTTGCCCCTATAATGCTGGTGAGTCCAACTGATAGATTAAATTGGAGTTGGATGGCTTACTGTCCACTCACAAGCCTCTCTGCCAGGCCTTCAAGTGGAACAGTTGAATGACCTTGTCAGATTCACTCCGCACATGTGTCCAAAAGCTTGATCCACTTAAAAAAAGAGGATATCAATGCAACACACCAGGGACAGTAAGCCTTATGCCACCTAGCCAGTGTAACACAGCTGAGAGAGAAAGACAAGAGAAACACACAAAATTGCCCACACCTGAATTAAGAACCCGCAAATGAGACCATTGCAGAACATTCAAATTAACCTTACTACACAAGCCAAGGAAAGCACACTCTTGGGGTTAAAAAATGCATTTTGTGACAGAGAAGATGTGACAAAGATGACCATGTCATTGACCAAAGACCATTATGAGCCCTGACCAGAAGCCCTCTTGTGCAGTTTACTTTGCCGTTGTTGCTCCCCAAATAATTAGGCCCAGGACGGTTATGCCTACAGCGAGCACAACAATGAGGATACATATTTTCTTGCGGGACTTGCGCTGCAAAGAAAACAGGGCATTGTTAGTATGGAAATTCTAGCCTTGAAACACTAATTGTTCCATCTGTAAATGATGTTTTGCTTATTTCTGACAAGTGAAACAGTAAACCTGTGCTTGCATATTTGATAAGAATGCTGCAAATGAACATTCTTATCAACATCTGGAAAGGTTACTGTAGTGGACTACAACTCCCGCCCCCAAAAAAAACCCAGCCAGCAAAACTCAGTGGATTCTGCAACTCCAGTTCAACCTAACAGCTTTTCCAAGGTATGACTTTATGACCGAGATTCCCTTGATAGAAAACTTCATTTTGTTAGCTAAAGGGTCCCAGAACACAACATGCTAGGGTTTTTTTTAATATGTAGTGTGTATAGAAATAATACTGAGTCCCATAAACCTCCATCTGAAGTCTGAAATGGTACTGCTTGGGTTGAAGGCTCCCTCATTTAATCTGATCACATTGTCAAGTGCAGAACCACCGTCACCACCATCACAGCAGTTGCCATCTTTCCAACATTCTTGCAAATAAAATCTTTTCAATAAGAAATCTGATACTTCTACTGCTGCGTTAGTGAATGGCGCAAACATACTAAGAGGGATCAGAGCATTGAGGTGAACTGTTAGAAAATAACGTTATTCTCATTAGTCATAATTCTGTTCTACATTTAATTTTAAATTAATGTCCCTACACTGCTCAGAATAGTGTGGGCATCTCCCTTATCGAACAACTACAGAGTTCTGGAAGTGTGGAAGGCAGCCACCAAACTTCCTGCAAAGCTGAGAGCATCCCCCCTGCACAATCAATGGGATACACTAGGCACTCCATGAAGTTGTGGTCATTTGAAGAGGCTGACGTAATCAGGGAAAGAAGAGAGTCTTCAGTAGCTCTGAGAAGTACAGTACCCTTAGTTTCACATTTAAAATAAAACAGATCATACATTCTTTTTCATTAGGGTCAAATGACTCAGCAGAATCCTGCTGGTAAAGGCTGGGTTAGGATACATCCAAAGATCAATCCAGAAAAGACAGAGGTTCAGTTGGTGAAGGGAGTTAAACCGTTCACAGACAGTAGGTCCTCCGTTGTTCCACCTAGCTTATGACACTGATGTTGGGTGACACTTTTAGATCTGGCTGTATCCTTGGGGGACCAAGTGACATCTGTTGATCAAAGCAGACTTTACAAACTTTGCTGTCCAAGGAAAAGTTCCAGCTGGCAGCACTTCAGTGTTCTTGCTGTAGTTATACATTTTCTGGCCACGGCCAAGTTAAATTATGTACTGAATCATGTTTGGACGCTCTTGTCCCAATATTTAGAAATGTCAGGTGACCAAAATATATGGCAACCCTGTTAAAAGGACTGCATGCAAGGAATATATTATACAGCTTTTATGAAACTTCTGTTTGCTTCTTGGGAGCAAATACACCAGTTGAGCAAGTCTTTACTATTTTAAAGGCTGGTTTTGACTCAAATCACCAAATGGCCAGGTCTGGAGTATTTGAAAGACCTCTGGACAGTGGCTGATATGGGTCCTTGTCTAGTTCAGTCCCACATGTCCAAAACCGCTTTCCTCTATCATCCCTTGCTTACTGCCAGCCTCCAGGAGCAACAATTTTTCCTTGAAATAAGGGGCAGCCCTAACCTCTGGTCAGCATTTTAACTCAACTAGAAACCACTCCATTTTTGGGGGGGAGTGGGAATGTGGAATGCTGCCTGTAGTGGGTCTGAAAGTAGGAACCTGTTCTTGGAACCCTCCCAGTGTGCCCACAGTTCATTTAGTTTACTGTTTTTAAATATTACTGTGACTGTGTATGTTATTAAAATCTAAAAAATAAGCAAAATCACAGTGGAAAGGAGCCTATTGTATGCCACATTTCTAGGCACTAAAGAAGTCTGAAATATAAGTTCTTAATCCAGTAGGTGAAAAAGCTACTGTGAAATCTTTCTGATCATGACCATATTTACCTGGTAGTCTGCTGCTCTGGACAACTGCTGATTTGCTTGCTGAACATGGACTTCAGCTGTTTCTACATTAGCCTCTATGCTATCTTTAGGAAGGAAAAACAAACATTAACAATTTGCCATTTGAAAGCCCTCACCTACTGGTCTGGGACTTTCCTTAGCTCTATTTTGTGACCACAGCACCAGAAAAGAAAGTAAGTGGCAATTCCAAGTACACAATTTAAAACAGGCCAAATTATACACAACGTAACATATAGTGAACATATAGTGACAACTCTTTGCTTTTTTAAAAAATGCTCTGTCGTATCCCATATATATGTATTTAGAATTTGAAGAAGCTGCCCAAAATAGGAACATACCGGTTTGTGAACATGGATGGTATCTAGGAAAAATTGTGCAATTAGGAGTGCCATGGTGATCTCTGACTGCTGCTGTGTGCAAATATGCCAGCTTTTAAAATAATCAGGTCCTTGCTTCACCTGTCCCAGAATTTCTCAGAAGCAGCAGTCAAAATGTTCGTTTTTAAATAGATTCTTCCTGAATGATATTCTTAGTCTTCATTCTGGATGACTGACAAATGGAAGCCTATGTGTACCCAGCTCCAAAGAAATTAAGGCCCTAAGAAGTCATAATCGTGGAATCATAGCTTCATGAAGTTGGAAGAGGCCTATAGGGTCATCGAGTCCAACCACCTGCTCAATGCAGGAATATAAATCAAAGGATAGCTGTCAGATAGCAGGAATATAAATCAAAGGATAGCTGCCAGATAGTTATTTAAATCTCTCTTGAATGCCTCCAGTGTTGGAACACTCACCACTTCTCGAGGTAACTGGTTCCACTCTCTTACTGAGCTAACAGTTAGGAAGCTCTTCCTGACATTCAACCAAAATCTGGCTTCCTGTAACGTGAGCCCATTGTTTGTTGTTTGTTTGTTTGTTTGTTTATTTATTTGATTTGATTTGATTTGATTTGTATCCCACCCATCTGGTCTGGTCGACCACTCTGGGCGGCTGTTGTGTGTCCTATACTCAGGGATGATCAAGAGCAGATTCTGCCCTTCCTCTGTGTGACAGTCTTTCAATTTGAAAAATGCTATCATAATCTCATCAATCCTCTTTTCTCGAGACTATACATGTCCAGTTCTTTCAGTCTGTCCTCATAGGGCTTGGTTTCCAGCCACTTGATTATCCTTGTTGCCCTCCTCTGAACTTGTTCCTATTTGTTGGCATCCTTCTTGATGTGCAGTGTCTAGAACTGGACACAGTACTCATGATGAGGCCTAACCAGTACCAAATAGAGGGGAACTAGTACCTCGCAGGATTTGGGGACTATACTTCCGTTAATGCAGCCTAAAATAGCATTTATCTTTTTTGTAGCCATATCACATGGTTGGCTCATATTCAGCTTGTGAGCTACAATGATTTCAAGATCCTTTTTGCTCATAAGATTGCTGAACCAGGTATCCCCCATCTTGTAACTGTGTATTTGGTTTCTTTTTCCTCGATGGAGTACTTTGCATTTATCCCTGCTGAATTTCATTCTGTTGTTTTCAGCCCAATGCTCAAGCCTATCCAGATCATTTTAAATTTTGTTTCTGTCTCCTTCCAGGGGATTAGCATTTTAAATTTTGTTTCTGTCTTCCAGGGGATTACTTGGAAGTTCCTAGAAGAAGCTACTGCAGCAGTGGCAAGAAAGGAACTGAGGCACTTGATGCCGTGGGCAGGGTTATAGCCAGCGTGAGGGTGGTCCCAGCACTATGTGCTCAAGCTCTGGAAAGTTCTGAGGATGCTCTGCACAGGCACAGTTTAACCCATTGCACTATGTGCTCAAGCTCTGGAAAGTTCTGCGGATGCTCTGCACAGACACAGATTAACCCATTGGTGTGCATTCACAGAGACCACAAAGAAGAATTAATAGTGTAATTGTTGGTAAATCCCATCTTCTCTTACCAAATAGGTGGACAGTAACAAGCTTTAGAATTTAACCCAGCTGCTGCTACAAGATTGAAACAAGCTTATTCAACACGACTCTTGTTCCAAAACTTGATTTATAAGAAGCCCTCCCAAAACACTGATCTCTGCTTACCTATAACATCTCCTTGTTCATGGATCATCATCCCCAGATCTTTGAATATTTCATTGATATCCAGAATATCTGACTGTAACACAGAAACAGGCATTTATACAAACCTCAACAATGAAGGAAGAGAAAGAGGTGGGACAAATGGCAGAGAGAGATGACTTTAAAACCACAGAAGATAGTAAAACACAGACACAGTACATCATCATACTAATGCTATCATGCTTGAAAAGCAAATTGGATACTATGTGTTATGTATATGGAATGTATCAACTAGTAGGACAAAATTTTATTTTTTAAAAAATCGATAAAAGTAGGACCTAAACAATGTAAGAACTTCAAAGTCCACAATAATTAGGCAGTGAGTTGGTGAAGCAATAGGCTGGATCCTGACTTCATTGCATGCAACTGAGCCAGGAAAGAAGATTTTCCTGCTCTCTTCTCCCTATGGCCATCTTGGAGAAGGCTGGGGGCTCATAGGAAAGGAGTGGGCTGAGGTGCAAGGAGGAAGGTGGGGTATCTCAAAACTAGACAGAGATGCCCCCCCATGTACAGAACCCATTGGCCAACAGGACAAAGATTCCAGATCCAATGGAAAGTGTTGGATCCCTTCTACATAATCCTACACCTGTATTTAAGGCACTAGTCAGAATTTTTATTTTAGAGCAATGGCGCCCACTTTAAAACCACAGAAGATAGTAAAACACATGATCCCACACCTATATTTAAGGCACTAGTCATAATTTTCATTTTAGAGCCACTTGGCTCCTGTTAGGTCTCTGTGGAGTGACTGAACATCCAACCACTGGTTTTTGTCCAGGACAAAGAGAAGGCAAAAGATGGGAATGATGGGAAGATACTGTGTTAAATGGGGAAAGAAGTCATAGCTAAGTTGGCTCTAGAAACAGTATTCTAAACCAATGGCACACTAAGCACAGATAGTGCTGTGTAAGCAGCAGTTTACAAACATTGAAAAACAGGACAGTGCCACCTGCTGTCTCCAATGTGGTGTGCACGTCAATGAAAAATCTGTGGGAATCCACATCAGAACGGTGTGCAAGATACACATTTCTCAGCATGCGTATAAAATAAAGGCTTGTTCTTGCTCTCGTTATGTCCATATACTTGGAACAGGCAAGCTGATGCCCTTCAGATGTTTTGGACTACAACACCCATAAACCGCAGCTAACATGGAGAATGGTGAGTGATTAAGGCACTGTAGTTTAAAGCATCCACAAAGCATCTTACCTTAGAGTAAAAAAAAAACTAGAGAAGGCAAAAGATGGGAATGATGGGAAGATACTGTGTTAAATGGGGAAAGAAGTCATAGCTAAGTTGGCTCTAGAAACAGTATTCTAAACCAATGCCACACTAAGCACAGATAGTGCTGTGTAAGCAGCAGTTTACAAACATTGAAAAACAGGACAGTGCCACCTGCTGTCTCCAATGTGGTGTGCAAGTCAATGAAAAATCTGTGGGAATCCACATCAGAACGGTGTGCAAGATACACATTTCTCAGCATGCGTATAAAATAAAGGCTTGTTCTTGCTCTCGTTATGTCCATATACTTGGAACAGGCAAGCTGATGCCCTTCAGATGTTCTGGACTACAACACCCATAAACCCCAGCTAACATGGGGAATGGTGAATGATTAAGGGCACTGCAGTTTAAAGCATCTGCAAAGCATCTTACCTTAGAGTAAACAAACACTCACTGCTCACCTCAAGCTGCCTAATGGCAGACTCCCTCTCCTCAATAAGGCGGAGGTCATCTTCTGTGATTTCTTCATCTAGTACCTGAGTCTGAGGTTGGCTGTAAGTGAAAATACACACACGATATCCAAAACACATTAGAGATGGTTCTACGACACATGCAAAGACAACCAAAGTATTCTAGAAATTGTGCTCTCCAGCCTGGCTTCCCCTGGGAAGGAATTCCAGAGTGTGGGAGAAGTGACAGAGCAGGGCCTCTCCCATGTCTCCACCAAACACACCTGTGAGGGTGGTGGGACTGAGAGAAAGGCCTCGCCAGATAATCGTAATGCCCAGGCAGGCTCACAGAGGAAGTCCTCCCTTGATGATCTTATTACCCAGGCAGGCTCATAGAAGCAGATGCAGTCTTCTAGATAGCTTGCATCCAAGCTGTTCAGGACTTTGCAGCAAAAACCAGCACTTTGAATTGTGTCCAGAATTGGATCAGCAGCTAGTGGAGCTCCTATAACAGGGGAATTATATGTTCCCTGTAACCAGCCTCAATTAACAATCTGACTGAAGCATTTTGAACCTTCTGGAGTTTTTGAACATTTTCCAAAGGCAGTTCCACATCATTACAATAATCCAGACAAGATGTAACTAGGGCATGTGTTACCATGGCCAGATCAGATCTCTTAAGAAATGGGCACAGATGGCACACTAGTTTCAACTGTGCAAAGATACTCCTGGCCACCACCAAAACCTGTGCATCAAGGCTCAGCGATGAATCCAGGAGCATCCTTGAGCTGCGCACCTGTGTTTTCAGAGGGGGTAGAACCCCCTGAGCAGAGGCTGAATCTCTATTCCTTGATCTACCTTTCAATCTCTATACCTTGATCTACCTCTGTCTTGTCTCGATTAAGTTTCAGTTTCATTTAACAGAACACAACAATGTAGAATTAAAATCATACTGTACTTTAATGATCCAAGCATCAAAAGTTGTTATATACTGTAATTCTGAAAATCTGTATAATGTTCTGTACATTTGCAATACAAAATTGCAAAGGATTTTCATGAATTTTTATGTTTCATTTATTGAACACTACCAGGCACATTTATATATTTTATAGGACTTCTTACCTGTCCCAGGAGACAAGCGTTCCTTCTTTATAGGAGTCCTCTGGGGCACCACCCTGTAAAATTTGGGGTGGGAAAAACTGTTTCAATTTTTTCCAGAGGCTATGGTCTCAAGCATATTTCATTGTTCTTCCACAATCAACCAGGTCTTATGGTGTGAGCAGGGGCAGAGTTAAATGTTGCAATAGCATGAAAAATGCTGCACTAGCGAAAAATATTCTGCGCTAAAGAAATTATAGTGACTGACACTGGATTCCTTGCGCTGCTGAATGCTCCATGATACCACATAACGAAACTACTTTTTTTCTTTAACATAAAATTAAGAACTAACAAAATAAAGATGTATATCCAGCTTCTACTTATGTGTAAGGAAAGGAGAATGACTGTGATGTCCTCAGAAATAGGAGGGCAATAATGATTATATTTATACACTCTTGTTGGCAACTAAGTGGAGAGCTAAACAATATCTACTTGTGTATGAATGTTGAGATCAAACAGCCAAGCAGTGTCACCAAATCAACAAGTCATGCATGGACCCATTCCAACGTAGTATAATACTTAGATTGCTCGATTGAGGTCTGGAGGGTCCGGGTTCAAATCCCCAATGAATCATGAAACTTGCCATTCTCTCTGGGTCTAGCCCTCCTGCATAGGGTTTGTTGTGAGGACAGTGGGAATGAGAGCTTTGTACAAAGTCTTGTGCTCAATGGAAGAAAGCTACGTAGGGTATAAATGTAATGTAGAAATACGTAAGATCAAGCCAAGCAAATTCAAGAAAATGCACTGGGCGTGACATTCTCTTGAATTCAATCCCCAACACACCCTTGTCTGCATGTTGATTACATTCCATCCTTCCTGTATTCCCAGCACACTGGGAGATCATCAGCAGTTTGACTTCTTCCTATTATTCCTCTTGTACTGTAAGCTGGACATCATTATAGCTCTACTGAGCTTTGGATATGGCAGCATGAAACAGTGATATTGGGTTTCACTCAAATTAGTTTCCTGGTTTTTAACCACTGAGCTGTTCTCATTCCTGTACTACTTCTCCATTTATTCCATCCTGGATGATCTATCACAACCTTCTGAATTTTTGACTTCTCATTATGTAACTGAAGTATTATAGCTTTCTCTGCTTTCAGAATTTTACGACTTCTTGATCTTTATTTGATGCTTCAAAAGTGTTCATACAGCTTATTGATTTTATGATAGGGTTGGCTTTATTTCATTTTAGTGGCTAAATCTGATTTACTTGTTTCTCTTCTTTTACCAAGATTATGTGATGCCTTGAGTACCACTTCTAGTGAAAATGTGGGGTATAAAGAAGATAAATAGTAAAAATATCAGTTCATCTCACTACTGCTTCAGTGATCTTTCTCTTCACCTGAGAAATTCTTGGCAACCTGTGATAAATCTAAATTAGAAATGATTCTATCTTTTTTTAGAGTAATGTATAGGAAAGCCCTCATTTAGCCATGCAGGAGAACTGTATGCTACGTACTGGAATCCAGACTAGAACGTGGTGCAGAACCCAAAATAGCCGCTCAGAGTGGTCGCATAGACAAGATGGGTGGGATACAAATCAAATCAAATAAATAAATAAAATAAAATAAAATAAAATTCTGGTGGCAAGTAGGATACTCGTTCTTCTCAAAAATGGCACTCAGCAACTGAAACCATATGGCTCATACCAATGCCATGCTTCATCCACTCTAAAATGTACAATGTTCCGTCTGTCTCAATCACTCCATTTCCTTCTGCTATCATTAACATTGCACGTTTCTACGTACTTACCGATAGCCTAGAGCTGGCACGTACTCTTGCTACAAAGTCCCTCTCTTTCTCAGCAGCTTGCCTTTGTACCCGCTGGAAGTTTGTAAGTGCTGTAGTGAATTCATTCACCAACCGGTCTTTCTGTATTTTTCTTTGACGCTAAAGGGCAGGAAGGGTTGAAAAATTAAGTCAACAGAACTTTCTGCAAAAACATTCTTTACCACAACAGCAAAGGAGGAATTCACTCTCTCTCTCTCATTTTCTCTCTCTCGGTTTAGAGAAAAGGTCTGACAAGCTTCTTAACATAAAAATATTCCATGTTTAATTGCACTATAAGCCATGTACCAAGCAGCCTTTTCACCATGTGGACGCAGTGTCCCAGAAACAGCCATTACCCTTTCCTAATTGAAATACACAATCTGCTCAGGACATACATACTGATATGCACATAGTCAGTTATGGTAAGGCCAATGACCTCAGCAAAGGCTCTGCTAACTGAAAGGTGCCTTTCTTTCTTTTTAAAAAGGCAACAAAGCAGTAGATGTTCTGGGTCACAACCCTCAAAACCCCAATGTTTATTAATTGGGGCTGATAGGTATTGTAGCTGAAAACGTCTGGAGGATGCAAGATTTCTTGTTTATTCCTGTGCTTATGCTTTGTGTTATCAGTGAAGTTTACCTTGAAGCCCTGAATAGAACATGGCAAACAGGTGGACATGGATAAATTCCAACATACTAAAGCAAGCAGGTATATATTTTGTGCGTCTAAAATCCACTTTTCTGGCCAGTGCCAGATGAGATTCTTCTCCTAAAATATATGAAAGATAAAAATGAAATCCCAAAATAGTGCTGTGAGGGACCGCTCTTCACGCATACATTTTAATTTGTTGGTGACCGGATTTCTTGGAAGGATGTTTACACTTCTGTGTTTTGGTCCCCCAAATGTGTTCTGTAATAATGTTCCAGTATGCATTAGGGATCATATGATTAGCTTAATGGCTGAGCAATTTAAAGCCCCACCTGTTCATCTGTTCTCTCAGATGCATGCAAGGTCCCTCCCCACTGTGGTCTTTGCATGAGTCAAAAAGTCCAAGAAGGGCAACAATCTGCTTCTACCAAGTAGCATTATGCCAACTTGCAGACTCAAGGTGACCTAGAAATGTGACTAAGCTTTGCGCTTTTCAGAAACACACAAGTCTAGATATCCCTCCAAGAAATCCAGTCTTGAAGTCTTCAAACTGAGTGAGGGAAGAGCAAGAGGGAAACACGGCTCCTTACAGTACTATTTGGGGACCTGAATTTAATCTTATATCATTTGAGGACAAAATTCCCATCTGGCACTGAACAGACGAAGCATACAAGTTCCTTTTACAGATACAGTCACAACTCTGCAAAATGTAACAGCACAGTGCAGAATTGAATGTACATTTGCAGCAACTTCTGGATTTCTTCCTGACTGAATATATTTAAAATCATATCCAACTACATGCAGAACTACGTATAAATTCTGAATAAGCAAAACTGCCCCTTGCAGAAATGCCTTGCCTGAAAAGTAGAACAATTCCATTTTGTATGCACTGCACATACACAACATAAAGGCTACAATTCTGCACCTATTTATGCTGCTTAAAACCTCCTTAATGTCAACAGGAGTTAAGCAGCCTAACTGTATACAGAACTGCAGTCAATGTGATTAAAATGATCATAATCCAACTGTGTGCACCAAAATAAATCCTATAATCCTAGTAGTTCAAAAAAACATTTGGCCTCTTAATTATATCAAATATTACCGAGTTCCACTAGTGCTTTTCATTTGGTATGCCTCTGGAGTCAATGCTTGCAAATAACTACACTGCAGAAACGAAAATGAAATTTTAAAATAAAAACATTTGCACAAAAATCTGTTTTCGTATTTTCATACCTGTTCAGTTATTGAAGGCAGAGATCCAAACTCTTTAATATACTTGTCTGTTTCTTTGGCAAGTTGGTTTGTATACTGTTGCTTCTGTTGTCTAAGACAGAAAGTCATAGTTTAGCTGCTGGACACCAACATTACTGCTCCTCTGTTCACTATCTGTAGACATAAAACTTCAGGCAAGGGATTTATATTATTGAACACCTGCAAAAAATCTATTGACCTCAGTCCCATGGAAGATAAGAAAAAAGAATTGCAAACTTCAGGATCTGATTTTGTTTTAAAGAACAAGCAGTTACTGATGAAGCTCTCCAAAAGAAGGGCTATCAAATGTGGAGCCAATATTTCTGATTTGCAAGTACTCAGGGAGAGCACTTCAATGGTAAAACATTTCCCATGGTACACACAATGCAATATTTAAGAAGGTTAAGGAGAAGAGAACAGTAAAATGCTGTTTTTGAGGAATTATGAATATACACAAACTCAATGGAGAAGATCATACTCTATTGCACAACCATGATTCAATAAACTGTATTCCACCTGAGGGCTCTTAAGACTGCTTTGTTTTATAACAGGGATGGGCAGAAAGGACATTGGGATCTACCACTAGATATGTAGTAATTTCACACAGGTTTGGCTCTTTACTGTTCACAGCACTAGCAATAGAAAGGGCACACCTTGTATCACTGTTGTACTTTGGCATACTTGCCCCTTTTTGAAGTCATTCTACATGTTTACAGAATTTTATCAAAATGAATTTGCTGAACTCTTGTTAAAAGAGTAAAAATTATACACTGGTGCCTCGCATTACGATGTTAATTCGTTCCTGCGAAACCGCTGTAGCACGAAAACGTCATAAAGCGAAAATAAAAAAAGCCATTGAAACGCATTAAAACCTGGTTAATGCGTTCCAATCGGCTAAGAACTCACCGTCCAGCGAAGATCCTCCATGGGGTGGCCATTTTTGGGTGCCTGTGCAGCGAAAAATGGTTCCTAAACACAGCGGGGAGCCATTTTGAGCACCTGGAGGCCATTTTGAAAACCCGACGATCAGCTGTTTTGATTGTCGGGAAGCGAAAATCGGTTCCCGAAACAGGGAACCCAATCATCGCGCAGCAAAATTCCCCCATTCAAAACATCATTTTGCGATCGCTTTTGTGATCGCAAAAATCTCATTGTAATGCGGATTCGTTGTTAAACGGAGCACCTGTCTTGTGAGGCACCACTGTATCACAAAATTATATTATACTATATATAATATAAAAAGTTATATATATAATGATAGCAATTTCCAAAGCACTTCGAGGTAACAAACAAGGAGGTGGTTGAGATTTTTCAAGACAACTTAATAGCCTTTGTTAGTTCTGCATATTCTTGTTCCCAACACCATCTGGGAGTTGAACAAGTACGAACAATGCAACTTGAAAAATTAACAAATCAATATACAAACAAAACTTGGTTTATTCCCAACCCCCTTGGCTCCCCACCACCACCACAATCTGTACTTTAAAGATGCTGAATACTTTGGTAAGACACCAACATATATTCAGAGGATATCTACAATGTACTCAAATTAAAGGTCATCTCATGAAGTACTTACAGCTGTTGCTGCAATTCATGCGTATCTTGTGGTGTTCCAAGCTGATTCAGTACTCTTTGTATTTCTGCAGCTGTTTGCAGAAAAAGAGGAAGAGAATTTCTGTAAGTGATACATTTACACCACAATTTCAGGCAATTCTAATTGGCGATTCAAAAACCTATACCAGTTGACAGAACTAGGGTATATCAAACTCACTATCAAAACACACACCAGGAAACAGATCATGGTATTGCTAGGTTCTCTAAAGTTAAAGCCCTTCAGTTGACATTTTGAAAGCTTAATGCTCAAAGGCAATATAAATGCTGCCTAAATACCTGTTGGAGCTGCATTTAAATCTACAGTTATGCTGATGTACATAACAATATGTCACAAAATGTCCAGAGTTTTGAATATCATAATGAAGAATGTATAAGACATTTTGAATGTATTTGCTCTTCAGAGAAACATACTTCAGCAAGAAAGAAATACAACAGGAGGGCAATTTTAACACGTTTTTTTAAAAAAAGGTCAGGTAAACTACTTCAGCTTTCAAAACCTGGAAGCCTGGCCATTTATTCCTAGGCAAAAAATGTTGCCGGTAAACCAGGCTAGTCAGGCTTAGTGCTTGCAATAAAATCCTAACATTGGTAACCCCGTGTCTAATACTAATAGCCATACTAATTAGCACCTCTTATATTACCCAAATGTCTTACAAGGAAGGGAAGAAGGTATAGTGAGTGGCAGGAGCAGACTGGCACTCAACTGACTAATAACAACAATAATTTGAACATCTACCATTGTACTAGCACAACCTTCCTTTATAGGCCAGGCTGGCTATGGATGGCAATAGCTTCAGTCCAACATAACTGGACAATACCTGGTTGGGAAAGGACACCCTGGAACTCAATGAGTTTACTGTGGGGGGCTGATATTTAGGAATACTGTATTACACAATGAGCATGATGCCATGTCACAAAATATTTTATGTTCAGTAGCTTATTTACTATAACAGAAAATGCAAGTCCAAAATCCTCGAATGTATGAAATAGATCTTGTTCTCTAAAGCAGTGGTCCCCAACCTTGGGCCTCCAGATGTTCTTGGACTTCAATTCCCAGAAATCCTGGCCAGCAGAGGTGATGGTGAAGGCTTCTGGGAGATGGAGTCCAAGAACATCTGGAAGCCCAAGGGTGGAGACCACTGCTCTAAAGCAAACCAAACCAAACCATAGCGCCTCAAGCACTCTCTGGGTGGTTTACAAGTTAATTATGCAGGCTACACACTGCCCACACCCCAGCGTACTCATTTTACCAACCTCAGAAGGATAGAAGGCTGAGTCAACCTTGAGCCGGCTACCTGGGACTGAACCCCGGGTCGTGAGCACAGTTTTAGCTGCAGTACAGCAGTTTAACCACTGCACTACGAGGCTCTAAGCTTGCATTAGCCTAGTTGACATTCTGTTAAGCAAGATTACACAGGTAGCATTTTAAGTTCTCAGTTGCAGCTAGTTTTAAAAGGTGTCATGCTTTCATCAGTTAGTTATTTACTCCAAATGCAAAGCAATCAAAGAAATAAAAGAAATAAAACAAAGATCAGATCACTTTTATAAATGAATAATTCCCCCCTAAACTTGGACAACATTTTTGCAGTAATCTGTTTGAGACAATGAAGATAAGTTATTTATTCAGGGGTTGTCAAGATTCAGCCTAAATTCTACAACTCATTTTCTCTGTAGTGGCCTTATTCAAGTCATTGATTCTGAATAGTACTTCTTATGAATGAATGCCACCTGCTGGCCATCTTTACAGATGCAGCCTAAATACACAGAAGGAGACCACAACCTGCAGGAATTACTCACACTCACCCACCAATGGTTCTTCCCTAGCATAGGTACTCAAGGGTGCTTGTCGGCAGCACACATGATATGCAAGCAGTGCCTCCATAATCTACCCTTGAAGTAGGATCCATACAAATCTACCCATTCCTACATTTTGCCTGCCTTACATAATGCAAGGGTTGTATGAGCACAGAACTCAGGAAGTAACAATGAATCAAGGCTACTCCAAGAAACAAAACTGATGGACTGAAATGGAAAATTGGGTAATTTTAATAGTTGATTAGCACACTAATTCACAATTTTAAATGTATATTTGTTCAAACAGTTATCTAATGGAAGAGCTACAGACTTAAAATGTACTCAAGAGTATTTCTTCCAGATGACCACCTAAGCTCTGCCAGAAACCTTCAATGAAGGAAAGCCCACCACCCTCCAAGCTATTGCATTCCACTGTTCCAGTCAAGAATAAATAATGAATATACATTATATAATAAAAAATATTTATTTCATTTCGTTACCACCCATCTCAACTGTAATGATCACCTCTCCCTAGAGAGAGTATGATGTTTGGACAAGGAGTCACTTTGAGCGTAAAACTACCACCTTTATCTCTATGTAGGTTCTTTAGGTCCCAGAAGTGCATAGTACAAGCCTCATGGACTATCTTGACCTTAAAAGAAACCTTTGCTTACTTCCAAAGCAATCAAGAATTGACTTTGTGCTTCCTTAGACAACACAGCAGCCTGGTAAAGTAGGACCACTCAAATATAGCAGCAACTTATTGACCTTCTCCAATCTTCACTGGATTTAGGTGTACGTTCTGCTGTTTCAAGAAACTAGTCCTCTGTAAGAATTTTATTTGCTTTATTAAGAAAATAAAATAGTTTTCATTAGAATACAGTTGTTGCAGTAAAGCAATAGCATTTAACATATCCATCCATTACAATGGATGTTAAATAAAGCTCTTATTTCTAATTAAAATAAGAACAATTAAAATCTAAGCCAAGTACAGTGGTGCCCCGCTTGACGACGTTAATCTGTTCCGTTAAAATCACTGTTAAGCAATATCGTCGTCAAGCGAAAGAAAAAACCCATTGAAATGTATTGAAAACCAGTTCAATGTATTCCAATGGGTGAAATACTTCATCGTCCAGCGAAGATCCTCCATAGAGGAAGCCATTTTCGATCACTGTCTTCCGGAAATAGGTCCGGAAAACAGCGGGCGGCCATTTTGAAAACTCACAATCAGCTGTTTTTGATTGTGAATGAAGCAAAAAATTGGTTCCCGAAGCAGGGAACCGATCATCATGAAGTGAATTTTCCCCATTGAAACATTGTTTTACAATTGCAATAGCGATTGCAAAAACCTCTTCGTTAAGCAATTTCATAATCTACTGGGGTAATTGTCAGGCGGGGCACCACTGTAATCATTTTGACTTTGAAGCTGGGCTATTCACTCCCCCTTCTCCTCTTTTCAAAAGGCAAGCCTTTTTTCTCTTATATTCCGCAAGCATTCTTCCACATGCTACAAACCAACATTTCACATACACAAACCATCATTTTTCTAAATGTCCTGACACTTTCTATCTATCATCCAATTAATTGCAAGAAAGCTTGACACAACTCTCCACCCATATTTCACATGAGATCCACAGGTGCCTTATCTCGCTTCTCATTAATTAGTATTCTTGTTTGGTCTCCTTTCTGGCTTCTCCAGCCTTGTCTTCTTATCTCCTGTACCAGGCATCTCTGCACCAGTCAGCTGTGCAAAAACAGTCTCACACTATTCCATTGCTTTTAACTCATCTTGCACAGAACCTAACAGACTCCATCTTTATGTGACTACAATTCCCGGTATCCTTCAATTCACTACATAGACAAGAGACACTCTGGGATGTTTAAAGCAAAACACACAACAGCACAATTAAAATACAAATTCAACAAAACAAAATTTGCGAAAAACAATAAAATCAAGGTACAGTAAAATCCCATTATATAAAAACATTTAAAATGGCAGACTTAGTCAAGCTAAGGCTGAATAAATTCAGCTGAGCCCACATATATTGTATATTGGAATGCCTGCCCAAGTAACAGGGTTTTTACTGATTTTTTTAAAAAACAATGCCAGTGAAGGAACCAGACGAATTGCAGGAGGAAGTTTATTCCACAGCCGAGGTGAAACTGCTGAGAAGGCCCTGTTTCTTGTCTTCTCTCTCCAGGCCTCCTTCAGGATTAGCATCCACAGCCAGCCTGCTTGGGATGTTTGTGCAGGACGAGAAGATCTCTTGCACAGGAAGTAGGCATTCTGCAAGGTACTGATGTCCCAAACTATTTAGGGCTTTATAGGTTAGAACCATCACCTTGAAGCTGCCATGGAAATGAACAGGTAGACAGCATAAGGCAGCCAGAATTGGAGTGATGTGTTGATATTTATTAACTCCATTTAATAACTTGGCTACCATGTTCTGGACCCATTGAAGTTTCCATGACAGCCTCATTGGGCAGCCCCACATTGAGAGTGTTGCAGTAGTTTAATCTTGAGACTACCAATAAGTCATTCTTCATAGTGTTTAGGCATTTAATGTTTGCAATTTGAATCCAATACAGTACTTTGGGTCCCTCCCTGTCCTCTGAAGGTACAGAAAACTAGTTTCCTCCATCTTCCACATGACAGTCTTTCAGATATTTATGGATAGCGATCTCATCATCTCTCAGTCTTCTCTCCTCAGCTCCCTCAACCATCCCTTAATGGGCCTGGTTTGTGCTTTGGATAGTGAAAATCAATTTGCTGTCTTTTCCCACTACTGTTACATTGCATCCTCTAGTTGGCAGTATTTTCTTTAATGGAAGGACTGCCAAAAAAAAAAAAAATCAGTGACACTATCATTATGTCATACTTCAGTGTCTGAACAAGAAAAAAGAATTGGCTAATAATTTGTCTTGAACAAATGACAAGTTACCAGCCTATGAAGGGAAATAATAATATCACTCTATTTTGTTTTGGTTAGGGCTCATCTGGAACACTGTGTCCGGTTCTGGGTGCCAGAGTTTAAGAAGGGTATTGAGACACTGGAAGGTGTCCAGAGAAGGGCCGCAAATTGATTTTCACTGTCCAAAGCACTTTTGTAGTGGCACTGTGAAGAGAGTAACCCTACATAACTGCACAGATTTTCAATACCTTTTTCACACACCCAAAGCAAAACACAGAACAAGCCTAATTAATTATCCACCTCTTCATAAAGATGGAACAGATCAG